TTCAGGCTTTGGAACAGGCTTCTTGCTTTAGCCTGCATGGTTAGAAGGCTTAAGGGTACACGCTTCTGTATCTGGTCTTCTATCAATATCACCAATAATTTTTCCATATCATGAATAGGACCTTGTCTTCTCTTTGATATTATAGTTCCCTTTATAGGTGTTGTTCCTTTCACTACTTCACAAATACGTTCCTTGTCCTTCAGAATAGTGGATATAGTCGAGTGTGAGAAACCTAGGTCGCGTGAGATTGTTGCTACAGTTTTTCCATTCTCATGCTGTGTTATTATCTTCATTTTCATCTCAAAAGTAATTGCCTGTCTCCTTTTCTTTGGAACACCACCAGCACTCTCACTTTTACACTTTCCAGTCATTATAAAGTCAATTAAATACGATAATAACGAAAGTTCACAGCGCGATCAGTATAGGATACGATAGCCAAACACAAACAAAGCGCTCCACTGAGTGAGTGTATCCACGAGGTGACCCGAGACGCGCCACCCACTTGCCCCGGACGGAAACGTTTCGGTATAGAAAATGCGCGAGTCATTTGAAAATATTTTTGGTCACGACTGCCGCGGTCGTATGTCCCGACGGACGTACGGTCAAAGCAGGTCGTAAGTACCAATGGACGTAAGTCCATGTGGTCGTAAGTCGGGGTCTAGCTGTATTTGTATAATTCCTGAGTGTAGATCAACCGTAAGTTCCACTATTTATGAGTGTGGTGAGATAGGGACAGCGTCTATGTAAATACAGTAGACGTGAATCAACGTCCTTTCGATATTAAGCAGTTAGTGAGACTCTGAGTAATGACCCATCGAAGGAGAATGGAATAGGTACGTCGTTCCCCCTTGAAGGAAGATGGAGCCATCCACTGCGGCTCTCAAATAACGTCTTCCTCTAGTCAAGGATATCAAACTACTGCTCGCTTTAGGTGGCCAGAGAGCCGGCTACTTATGCCTTTACTCAGCATGGTATGACGCAGCTTCCCATGGGCACACCTTATCATGTGCAATGAAAATGTCACCTCATAGCCAGTGGAAAGTTACAGGGGATGACACGGTATATAAATCAAATGTAATTAACCCACTTATATAAGTCTTATGTTTGTGAAACAAGGGCCATTACACGGTTCAAATGATGGGGTAAAAACAAGGACTTTTATTTTGAAGGCTTTGATCTAGTGGTGGCAGAGGCAGTGGTGGAGGAAGGGGGGAGGGGAGAGACTGGAGGCTTGGGTGGGTTGGCGACGGTCGTTAGCATTCCTTCCCGAGCCTCAGGTATCAGCTTAGTCTACATTAAGCTCCTCAACTTTAATTTTAAGGTTGGTATTTATGTATATGTTGATTAACTAATGACAGTATAGTCTGGATTTACGCGGTTTTTGTTTACGCATTTGGTCATTTACGTGGTGCCTTGCCAGAATGAAATGTTTTAATTACAGTGATCCCTCGGTTAACGAAATTTCAATTAACGAATTACCTTCCATAAGATTCTTCACTTCGGTTAACGAGCAAACCCTCTGTTAACGAATTCCTTACGAATTTTTCCCAACATGTTTTCACCTGCATTTGGCTGCCCACCAGCTGTAGTATTAGTCCGCCAATACAGTAATCAGTTTTAGGGCTTAAATTCCTTACCATTTTAGTAAATATCAAGAATGTACTATTCAATAATTTTAAAAGTTTTATATTAATTTTTTTAGTCATTTTAACAATTATTGAACATAATTGAAGTATAGGATGCTAGTTTTTTGCGTGCCAAACAGCAACTCAACACACCAAGTTTGGCGTCAGTTTATTTACCAGTTCAGAAGAAGGAACATCTTGTTTGAGACTCTTCAACATAAACGCTTTTTTTCTGTGTTTCCAGTCAAATTATTGGTCATTTTGAAATATATTTAACATATTGACAATATATAATGCAGTGCAGTGTTGATTTAAAGAAAATAATCTTGAATTACACCAAGTGAACTAAAATTTTATGGGTGAAATGGCAGCATGGGGTGACTTCTCTTCCACCCCAATGCCTTCTCTTCTACCTTCTCCTCCACCCCCATTCTAATTACCATCATCATCATCATCAACCAGGAGCCTTCGACATGCACACCTCAAGGTAAGTGTACTTTACTGCATTTATTTTTAGTTTGTATGTAATTTTAGATGAGCTGGAACCAATTACCCAAAAACCCATTGAAACAATGGTTTCGGTTAATGAATTATTCGGTTAACGAGCAACCTTCTGGAACGAATTGTGCTCGTTAACCGAGGGACCACTGTACGCGGTAAATTTCATCATTTACGCGGCGAGCGGCTGGAGAGGACCAGACGCACCGTGTCATTTTTTACTCACGCGGTCCATTCTAGACCATATGCGGGAAGCGGTGAGGGGTGAGCATTAGGTCGCTCTTACATTATCGCTGACATCATATGACGTATCGGACTGTGATTGGGCCACGCATCCTAACCACCCACGCAGTCCCTCCGCCGCTAGCTGTGATTGGTCTAATGTAACATGAAGTGCCCTGCCACCAGAAGTTGATGACCTAGCCGGGCCAGTCTCATTGTTCTCAGTCTCTGCGTATACAGTTCTCTCTTGTGCCTGCTATTCCCCTCACAATGGCTTCCGCTGGACCCCCGCCACCCCAGAAAAACCTTGAATTGCCTGGACCAAGCCATGATTATGTGAAGGAAATCATCGAGTTGGGGGAGAAAATTAAGGTCATCCTTGATAAACACCCAATCAAGCATCGGTATGAAGTGTCTAATAACCATCTGTCAAAAATTATGGAGCCGTATGTCCAGATATATTACGATATCTTCAATGCTAGTCGTCAACGTAGTATTAAGGACTTCTTCGCCCTCAACCCACCACACCCATAGCCAGCCCAAGTCAGTGATAGTAGCAGTGAGGATATGGACTTTGAGGGGTTTGTCAGGGAGGCCCTGCAAACCTCTGCGAGTAGTGAAAGTGATTCACCGGAAGGCAACTAATCTGCCCTCTGCCTCGGAACCAGCCGCCATCCACGTGTGCCGACCCATCTCTTCTACTAATGTAAGTGTTAAAACACCTTCAGATTTGTAGTTTTTTATTTAGATATTACGTGTGTAGCAATACCATCATAAAATTATGATGTTATTTTTACTACAAGGTACGTATCGTGTCGGAAAAAGTGGAGTTTGGGAGTCGGCCCAGTCTCTATTTCAATTAATCCCATATGTTCTGTTATTTAGTTTACGCGTTTCTCGTTTTATGTGGACCTCCACGGGTTCAATTGACCGCGCAAATGCAGATTACAGTGGGGTATGCTATAACAAATCTAATTGGTTCTAGAACCTTGTTCGTTATAGCATTAATTCGTTATAGGATTAGTCCGTTCCAGGCCCCAAAATACAACCACTTAACACTGAAAAATATAATATAAAATTGTAAAAATTGTAAAAAAGTGCATAAATATGCATCTAAACCCCTGAAATAAAGAATATCATTAATACTTGTAATAAAAAACAATAAATTAGTAAAAAAAAAAAATAAAAAATAAAAAATTACTGTTCGTTGTAGGAATTTCGTTCGTTATAGCATTCTCCATTTTATAGGTAAAACCGTTTGTTATAGGAATATTCATAGTAGAATCTGTTCGTTATAGCATACCCCACTGTATACTGTATTCATTCTCTTTCAGCAATAAAATATAGGTTATATGCGGGTAAAATAGGAAAAAATTGAGTCTTTGGCTGGCCCCTCAGTACCAATTAGGCTTTTTCCCATTGGATTAAGCCCTCTGGTTTGGCGAGGTTTTTTCAGCATCAGTTAGTCGCCAAACTGGAGGGTTTACTGTATATGTAAAGAGCAAATGACATCTTACGGGAAGACCAAGCCCCTGAAAGAAAGGTGGGAGAGAAGAGAGGGGATTCAATGGGGGAGGGGGGATAAGAGGGTAGGCTAGGTGAGGTGGGTGGTCAAAGTGCTAATGGGCACAAGAAGATCAAAGACAAAGTCCGCTGTCATGACCACTGACACCTGTCCTGACATCACCTCACCATACGAGACCTCTCGGTATGTGACAGTGCGGTGCCTCCCCACACCCACACCATACCCTCCACCCACACAATCTTTACTATGGTTAATAATTAATTAATTAAAAAATATATCATTAGTTTGCATGTAACGAGTCACGAATCTTGTTTTTCAATTGTATTGGAGTAAAAGTATTCGAAACCCACACTTAAGTAAAAGTGTTAAGAAAAATTGAGTACTTTTTCAATAGCAGATACCCAAAAATGTTACTTGAGTACAGTACTGTACTCAAGTAAATTTATTTAGTTACTTTACAACTCTGTCTATAAATAAGTGTGTTATCTGTATAATTATGGTTACTAATATGGAAAACTAAAATGAAGTGGGCAGTTTGTTTCTTATAACATAAAAAAAAAAGTTTGACAAGATAATTTTGCCTTGACAGTTCTTTTTGGCCTGGTGTGTGTGTGTGTGTGTGTGTGTGTGTGTGTGTGCGTGCGTGCGTGCGTGTGAGACAAACCATTGTCTAGAGGCTTATGTGTATACCTGCCCCACCACTGTTAACTCAGTGCCAACTTGTAACTAGGCCTGTGAACTGTGTTTCTCAACCATTGTTGTCTATTAGTTGTTACTTACTTGATATATAGTATGTATACATGTATAGGTTATAATTTTTTTTATCAATATCCTCCTTTTTATATGAGTCACAGTCAAAATGGAATATTATGATACAACCTAAGTCAGTTGAAAATATCTAACTGAGGTAATCAAGGCAGTTAATCCTTGACATGTATGTTATCAGCTATTGTCCATGGCTGGAACCACTATATTAAGCATTAAAAATTATCACTCCAGTTGAATGTTTGGTACAGCCTTACAAGTTTACTGAAGAGTTTATTTGATGTGTTGCTCTACAAGATAAGATACAGGGTAGTAGTGTAGTAAGGTTGCCTTGGCTGCTACTACACAGAGAAAATAAGACTGACCTCTAGCTTCCTTATAGCTTTTGTCTTCTGTGACTGTTGAGTTGCCTGGCGAACCAGACCAGAGAGAGAGTCAAGAAAGTGGAAAGCTGCTGTGAGTTGTGAGTCCGTCAACACCCACAAGAGGTCATCCATGAGCAACACAAGGCGGCACCCAACTACTGAAGAGTCTGTGGATCAATTTTTTCATATAATTATTGATGACTATATATGCCTAGCTATATTACTGAAACAATGCTTACAGAAAGATACTTGGCAAAAAAATCAATTAACCATTTGTGTATGGAGTCCCCTCTCTGTTGAATAAAACTGTCTTGAGTTAGCCAAATAAAATATTGAAAGTGACATTCCCATAGTGAAGAGGTTAATAACTATGAATGTTTCCTTGCATAGGGTTGCCTTCACTGATGACTAGTGACCTTGACCTAAGTACAGTGACCCATGCTAATGATACTGATCCTTGCAACACTTAGTGTGTTGAAGAGCTAATACTGGATATCCAATAACATACGTACAATCAACAAAAAACTATCTTCACTTCCGGGTCCAATGGGTTTTGAGATGAACACTAAAACTCCCTGTTGTTTTGGTAGGGTTGGTATATATGATTGTGAGATGCATTTCTTAAGTATCATGATATCTCTTCAGTACAGTTTACTGCTTCTTTTTAAAATAAAGGAAAAACAAAGACTGTAGAATTCATTATGTTGTTTTACTCACATTAGAAATTATTTCCACCTCATGGATGAGTTGCCATATAGGAATACAATATACAGTAATATACTATTAGAGGTGTGATTAAAAATGTAATGTTGTCATGGGAACAACTAAAGGTAGATTCACATCAACATAATGTTGGGAATGTTGCCATCAACATGTTGGACAAAGATGTCAACATCGCTAGAAAGGAAGGTGAAATAATCACAAACAGTAGTCCATACCAGTCATATTTCTGTTGGTAACTATGTTCCAAATACTAATGTTACAGCATTTTCATGTAATCTTCAAAATATTATTGATAACACAGTTGCCAACACATGCCTTAATGTGGTTGAAAATCCCTAACAAGTCTTACCATTTAAACTGGACCCAATTAAAACTGGAACAACATCATGCAAGTAGAGGTTAGGTTGAAGTCTATTAGGACTGGATCCCACCTGATCAATCACAAGCCTGGCAATGATATTTTACCTGCCAATTTCTTCTTGATGGTAATTCTGCAGCGCGCTTGATTAGTTATGAGTCTCAGAGGGGTGAGCGCCTGATCTCGCGTTGACCGAGCTTCCACCCGTAATGTTTGCCACGACAGCTGCAGTGAACAAGGGGAAAAATATTATGCTGCAGCAATAATATCACTAATGCATCAAAGTTAATATTCTTCAATCTGGGTCCTAATAATTCTCCATCAATGAAAAACACCTAATAACAATACAGTGGTCTCTCGGTTAACGAAATTTTGGTTAACGAATTACCTTCCATATCTTCATGTCGGTTAACGAAATTCTTACAAAAATGTTTCGACATGCTTTGGCTTGCTCACCAGCTGGAAGATTAGTCCGCCAATACAGAAATCTGTTCTAGGGCTTACATTCGTTAAAATTGGAGTAAATATCAAGAAGGTTGTACTATTCAATAATTTTCCAAGCTTTATATTAAAATTTTTAGTCATTTTAACACTTATTTAACATAATTGCAGTACAGGGAAATAGGTTTTGGTGTGCCCATCAGCCACTTCACTTACCCACCAAGGCCTCAGTTTGTATCTCTGTTCAGTGGAGGAAACATCTTGCTTGTGGGTCTCTTGAACACAGAGTATTTTTACGTTTTTACAGTACGTACAATTATTGGTCATTCTGGAATTTATTTTACATATTGACAATATATAGTGCAGTGCAGTGTTGATTTAAAGAAAATTATCTTGAATTACACCTTGTGAACTTAAAATTTTATGGGAGAAATGGCGGCATGAAGCATGGGGTGATTTCTCTTCCAACCCCACTTCCTTCTCTTTTCCCTTCTCCTCCACCCCCACTTCTAATTCCAATCATCATCATCATGAACCAGGAGCCTTCTACATGCACACATCAAAGTAAGTGTACTTTACTGCATTTATTTTTAGTTTGTATGTAATTTTCGGTGAGCTGGAATCAATTACCCAAAATCTCATTAAAACAATGGTTTCGGTTAACGAAATTTTCGGTTAACGAATGACCTTCTGGAACAAATTGTGTTCATTAACCGAGGGACCACTGTAAAGTGATATTTTAAAAGTTTAAGAGTGTGCTATATGAAATATGTATGAGAAAGCAGTAGTGCAAAATTAATAAGAGGAGAAAGGAAACATAATATAAGGGGAAATAGAGCGACAGATAACCAGAGAGCCAAAAATGGCATATTGAGACGGGTTTTCCAATACATCAAGTTTTTCTTTGGCTTTCAGAAATGTCTGGAAAACGCAAGTGAAGTGTCACACAAGAATACATCGATGCAGTGATTGCCTAGTCAGATAGTGAGTTAGAAGAGAGTGATATCAAGGACCCCACCTGGCCGTCACCTGTAGCTAGCCGTGAGGAGTGTGGCTACGAGGAAGACGAGGGCAAAGCTGTAACTGATGAAAGCCAAAATGTACTTTTCTCAGGAATATCTACCATAGGGGATGGAATTACTCCTACGTGGGCAAAGATTGGAAATCTGAAGGACCATCCACCTGTGCAACTTCAGGGTGTATCAAACTTCGCTAGTACCTCTGTATCTATTGGGTTCTCGGATTTAGCCCCATTTGAGTGTTTAGCAAGTATTTCCCGATGAAATTTATGCTCATGTTGCTGCAGAAACAAACAGGTATGCTGCAGACATGATAAGATCAATGGAACCATTACCTCGGAGGTCAAGGTATCAGTGCTGGTCAGTTGTTACAGCAAGGGAAATGAAAGCGTTTGTGGCATTAGAAGTCTGCATGGGAATTGTACATCAACCCACACTAGAGGAATATTGGCAGAATAAATTTTGGGTGATAGCTATGCCTGGATTTGGGTCTATGTCTAGACCGAGGTATAAACTCATTAAATCATTCCTGCGCTTTGCAAATAATGAGGAGAGGGGAAACAATGAAGACAGACTGTATAAGATTAGGCCCATTCTTGACATTGTTAAAGATTTGTATGTGTCTGCATATTCCCCCAGAAAGAACTAAGTGTAGATGGATCCATGCTGAAATTTAAAGGTAGGTTATTTTACAAACAATACCTGCCATCTAAGCCATCATCAAAGTGGGGAATTAAACTGTGGTCATTGTGCGAGTCAAAGACAGGGTACTTGTTAAAATTCTCTGTGTATACAGGTAAAGATGGTCAATAGCCCTAGGTGATGGTCTTGGGTCCAGGGTTGTCAAAGGTTTACGAGAGGGATTTGAAAACAAAGGTCATGTACTTTATGTTGACAACTTTTACACAAATGTTCTACTCTTTGAAGACCTTAGAATGAATAACATTGGGGCATGTGGTACTGTTCGTGTTAACAGAAAAGGGCTGCCCAAAGAACCCCCTAAGATAGAGGATTTCAATATACAGTCAACCCTCACTTTACGCGGTCCCACATTCCGCGTTTCCACGATTACACGGTGCCCTGCCAGAACCCAGGATGCTCACATTCCGCGGTGGGTGTACCCTTTACACGGGTGAAGTACAATTTTTTTATTTAGCTCATAAAATTCATACAAATTATCCGGCCAGAATATAATTTACATTGCTGGAATTCTTACAATTTGATGATCATTTTGAATATAAACATCATAGATTTTGCATTAGACGTACAAATTTTAGATATAATGTTTACTCTGAGTAAATATGTTATCTTTTGTGCAAAATATATGACATTTAAATTCAAAATATTCCTGGTCTTACAAGGAATCCAGAAATGTCAATTATATTATCCTAACTTTAATCTGAGGTATTATTTAATACTAAATGTTAAAATCTAGTTTTTTCACCCAACCTTTCTCTTGAAGGGAGGATTGGTGGGAGTTGGGGGGGGGGGAGGGTTGGGACGGACCGACCATCTGGCCCGGTTGGAAGAAGAGGCAAGATGGGGTACTGATTGACAGATAGTGTCGTGAAGAATATTTTTTTTTATTAACTGAAGATATTTGTTTTAGCTCATAAAATTCATACAAATTACCCGGCCAGAATATAATTTACATTGCTGGAATTCTTACAATTTGATGATCATTTTGAATATAAACATCATAGATTTTGCATTAGACATACAAATTTTAGATGTAATGTTTACTCTGAGTAAATATGTTATCTTTTGTGCAAAATATATGACATTTGTATTCAAAATATTCCTGGTCTTACAAGAGGGAGGAGTTGAGTCCATTATTTGAATGGACATTAACTTGGCGACTGTGTTTCTCTATTTCTCTTAAGTATTAATTGTGTGCATGTACCATCCATAAAATTAAGATGTTATTTTTACTAGAACATAGGTATTGTGTTGGAAAAAGTGGAGTTTGGGGGTCAGCTGGTCTCTATTTCATATAATCCCATATGTTATGTTATTCACTTTCACGCATTCATAAAATTAAGATGTTATTTTACTAGAACATAGGTATTGTGTTGGAAAAAGTGGAGTTTGGGGGTCAGCTGGTCTCTATTTCATATATCCATATGTTATGTTATTCACTTTACGCGTTTCTCACTTTCCGCGGTACCCTGTGGGTTACATTAACCGCGTAAAGTGAGGGTTGACTGTATATATATGAATAATGGTCAGTAATATAAAATTATGTGACTTCAATGGAAGATAAATTATCATTGCAGTCTACACTATTTGACATACCTACTTATGATATTGCCCATTATTATGAACACAGAAAAAATATGTAAAAAAGGTGTTTTCCCACAAAATCGTAAAGTTACCCTAGATAACTGACACTATGGCAGTAAACACTGACAACAAAAATGGCAACCCATCTCCTCTTGGGTGACCATATTATTATTGATTTATATTGTATAAGGTGCATTCATAAACATTATTTTAAGAGGGTAAAAGCCACACAAAAGATATGAAAAGGTCAGACTTTGGAATGCATCTCATTATTATTGCTTTATTTTAATGGTAATTAATAATTCACGGTACGATGATTCACCTTACACTGCAATATTGGAGGACACATTACCGACGTTATTCGAGGCTTTACCGTACTGTATAGTGCATACAGTATTACAGTGGTCCCTCGGCTAACGAGCACAATTCGTTCCAGAAGGTTGCTCGTTAACCGAAAAATTCGTTAACCGAAACCATTGTTTCAATGGGTTTTTAGGTAATTGGTTCCAGCTCACCGAAAATTACATACAAACTAAAAATAAATGCAGTAAAGTACACTTACTTTGAGGTGTGCATGTAGAAGGCTCCTGGTTGATGATGATGGTAATTAGAATGGGGGTGGAGGAGAAGGGAGAAGAGAGAAGAGAAGGCATTGGGGTGGAAGAGAAGTCACCCCATGCCGCCATGTCACCCATAAAATTTTAGTTCACTTGGTGTAATTCATGATTATTTTCTTTAAATCAACACTGCACTGCATTACATATTGTCAATATGTAAAATATATTTCAAAATGACCAATAATTTGACTGGAAACACAGAAAAAAAGCATTTATGGAAAAAAAGCATTTATGTTAAAGAGAGTCTGAAGCAAGTTGTTACCTCCACTGAAAAGACAGAGACTGACGCCTGTTTGGTGTGTTGACAGGCTGTTTGGCATGCTAAAAACTAGTTTCCCTGCACTTAAATTATGTAAAATAATTGTTAAAATGACTAAAAATTTTAATATAAGACTTTTAAAATTATTGAATAGTACAAACTTCTTGATATTTACTAAAATAGTAAGGAATTTAAGCCCTAAAACCGATTACTGTATTGGCGAACTAATACGAAAGCTAGTGTGCAAGCGAAAACATGTTGAGGGGCGCTCGTAAGGAATTCGTTAATCGAGGGAATGCTCGTTAACCGAAGTTAAGAATCTTATGGAAGGTAATTCGTTAACCAAAATTTAATCAACCGAGGCGCTCGTTAACCAAGGGATCACCGTATACATTATTTTGTTTATGTACAATACAGGTCTACCCCATAACCCGACATCCCATTAACCGTCGCTTTGCATAACCGACGAATTTATATTGGGGAAATACCCCAAAAGTTTCGTTGAATACCCGTTGATCCACTGGTTGGGAGAGGAACAGCAGAGCTGTTTTGAATTTGGCGGGCGGTGGTGCGGTGTAGATTCTTGCCACGAGAGGGCTCTGCGCATTGTCCCTGACTCAGTCCCACCTTGGTGCACGTGTTTGCGCTCACCTCGTCTACAACTTTGTGTTTTTTGTTTACCCTGTTATTTTCGACTTCATGAGTTACAAAATCATGCCTAAACGCCCCAGTTATAGTTCCTCTTGTGCTGCCCCTATGAGGTCACATAAGTCTGATGTGATAAGGTGTAATAAGCAAATATTGGTAGAGACTTGGACTTGCCACCCTCGACTGTCTCTACCATCCTCAAAGACAAGGAAAAGTATGAAGCAGCTGCTGATGAGTGTGTTTCCCTCTGCATTCACTGGGTTTGACGACACTGATGACCCTGTACCCTTCACTCAGTAAACTTACCCCAACCAATATGTTCCTCAAGCCTCGGGGAAAATTGCTGACTCAACTCTTCAACACAGGTAAATAACAGTCTCAATTTATTCTTACATTCCTTATTTAATGCTTATTATGCTTCCTTTGTCTTGCTTAATAGTGTGGACGACAGAGATATATTAAGGGTAGATGGGGTTTTTTGGGGAGTGGCTGGTCCCTAACCTCCCAAATTTTATATATTCCTACGAGATTAATTAATTCAATATCCATTGATTCCCTAGCCGTCAACTTTTCACAGTCTATATATGCATCGGTTATCAGGGTATGCCTGCATATTGTACGTGTACAGTGGTGCTTGTGTTAATAAATACAGCTCTGTGTCTGTCCAAGATACATAGCTTACTCTCAGTAAACTTTCCCCAGCACCAATGCATATTTTAGACTCTCAGAAAACCTTCTCAGCACCTGCAAACATTCTGGGGATGTGCAATAGTGTCTATTTGTGTGAGATTTGTAGTTTAGACTCTCCAAAAATCTTTCCCCAGTACAGTACCTGGAAAAATTCCATGATGTGGAATTTTTTTTCTGGGTTTGAGAAAGTCTCATTACCCGGAAATTATTCTGGGTAATGGGACTTCACTGTATTTAGACATAATAAACCAATTAAATAGCATGTCCAGTGCAATAAAAAAACTGAACACATTGTATGGAATAAGGGTACAGTGAACATCCAAAATGTACTGTACTACAATATTCACTTGATCAATCTATTATCAGCCTGAAGATATATACAGTGAACCCTCACTTTACGCGGTTTCACTTTACGCATTTCTACATTTACGCGGTACCCTGCCAGAACCGGAATTCCCACTTTACGCGATGCATCTACTCATATACGCGGGTGAAGTATAATTTTTTTATTTAGCTCGTAAAATTCATACAGATTATCCGGCCAGAATATAATTTACATTGCTGGAATTCTTACAATTTGATGATCAATTTGAATATAAGCATCATAGATTTTGCATTAGACATACAAATTTTAGATCTAATGCAAGTATTTTGTTTACTCAGAGCAAATATGTTATCTTTTGTGCAAAATATATGAAGTATATATTCAAAATATTCCTGGTCTTGCAAGGAATCCAGCAATGTCAATTATATTATCCTAACTTTAGTCTGAGGTATTATTTATTACTAAAAAGGTAAATATTCTGGTTTCTCCCACACATTTCTCTGGTACGGAGGGTTGGTGGGGGGTGGGGGGGGAGGGAGGGACCGACAGACCATCTGGCACGGTTGGAAGAGGGGGGAGGCACGGTGGGGTACTTTGATTGACAGATAGTGTCGTGAAGAATATATTTTTTTTTTATTAACTGAAGATATTTGTTTTAGCTCATAAAATTCATACAAATTATCCGGCCAGAATATAATTTACATTGCTGGAATTCTTACAATTTGATGATCATTTTGAATATAAACATCATAGATTTTGCATTAGACATACAAATTTTAGATCTACTCTAAGTATTTTGTTTACTCTGAGTAAATATGTTATCTTTTGTGCAAAATATATGACATTTATATTCAAAATATGCCTGGTCTTACAAGGAATCCAGCAATGTCAATTATAGTATCCTAACTTTAGTTTGAGGTATTATTTATTACTATACCTTAAAATCTAGTGGCTTTTCCCCCAAACATTTCTCAGAGAGGGAAGAGCCAGGAGTGTGAGAAGAGGGGGAGGGAGTTGAGTTCATTATTTGAATGGACATTAACTTGGCGACTGTATTTCTCTATTTCTCTTAAGTATAAATTGTGTGCATGTACCATCATAAAATTAAGATGTTAATTTTACTAGAACATAGGTATTGTGTCGGAAAAAGTGGAGTTTGGGGGTCAGCCGGTCTCTATTTCATTTAATCCCATATGTTATGTTGTTCACTTTACGCGTTTCTCGCTTTACGCAGCCTCGTGGGTTCAATTGACTGCGTAAAGTGAGGGTTGACTGTACATAATGTTTACAGTATTTTATTAGTAGTAATGATATGTACACTGCAACAATGCTACTTACTGGTACATTTTGAAATCCTGATATATCACTCAACCCTACAGTAGCAAGCCACATACTTGAATCAATACTGTATGGCATAGTTCACCTCTTTGAAGATAAGAAGTTCTCCCCGGTCCACATCCTTCATTCGTGTGGTGCGCAGGTCTGCCTTCTGCCAGAATGGGTTTTTGGAATCCAGTACAATACGAGAAAGCTGAAAAGGATTTTTTTTTTTCTCCCCACTCCCACAAGCTTTCTTCTGCTTGGGAATGGTTATTGGGATCAAGGGCAACAAAAACTCATGCTTTGATGTAATTTTTTGGCACACTGCTGTAATAAATATTTCCTGCTGTGATGTTCACTATCTATAACATCAACATCATCATCATCAATGTTTTATGGGCATTTTCCACTCATGTGTGGATTTGCTGCAATTACTTGTTGACAGTTTTCCATGCTGCATGGTCTCTTGCAGTCTCTCTTAAAAGTTCTAAACTCTAATGTCCCTTCTTACAACCTCTCCTCAAATCATTCTGGCTCTCCTCCCCTCCACATTCAGACTCTTACATCTCTTGATCCAAATGGACTCATCCATTCTCTCCATATACCTTGTGAAATAGTATTTGCTATCAGCGCTTAGTCATGAACATACAACTCCCAGGGCAGACCAGTCCTAAGTCCTGTGGTATTGCCTCCAGCACCATATTACAAAGAAGGGGGTTCAAGACAGACACCTGATGAATCCTTCCTTTAAACTCAAATTTATCACCAATTAACATACTCTCACAGCAGTTTTCCTACCTTCATATAATGCCATAACCTCTCAAATAAGTCATTCCTTGAGCTCTACTACTCCATGTGGCATCCTGCCATATGCCTTTTTAAGTTTACAAATATGAAATACAATTTTCTCTCCTTCCCTAGATATTTCTGCTCTACTTGCCTGGCCATAAATATTGCCTCTGGTATGAACCCAAACAAATGTTCACTCTTTCCTTTACCTCTATTGTTTCATAAAACTCAGAATCCTCCATTAGCTGTATAACCATCCCCATAAACCACACAACACTCCATTCTTCCATCGTGTATGTCCATCCCTCCCTGGTCCGGTATCTCCCTCAGCCTATTCTTCCACCATCATCATCTTTCTCTGTCATATCATCCACCTCTGAATTCTACTATTTATTATAGTTGATAATAAAATATAAAAAGGAATTCATAATATTACCTGAAAAGAAGCCTGAAAGGCATGACTACGAAAAGTGATAAGCATTGCATTGACGGTGACAGTCATGCCATCAATGACCTTATCAGAGTAGCCATAGCTTCCGCCCGTGCTATATGATGGGAGGACAGATTGGCCACCTTGAGATCGCAGTTCTGTACATGTTTCCATTTCAACTTGTACTTCATCCAGGCTCTGTAAAATATCCACATTAATGCAAGATAAAGTGGGAGAGAATATAACATACCTGTGTACAGTAATGAGAAAACTGTCATTGTCTTAACTGGCCCATGAGAATGTTTACAACATAATGAATTTTGACCTCCTTAGGGGGTGGAGTAACCAATGACCAATCATATGTAGAGTAATATACAATTAGCCAATGACAGCCCAGAGATTAGCCAATGAAATATAGTATGAGTTGAAAGGGGCATAGTCAGTAAGTTTAGGGAACACCCAATGTACAGTAAGTCCACAATTAGCCTATACGTAGTCTTGTGAAATCTCTGGTAACATAAATATATTGAAGAGAACTTGTAAGAGATTAAAAAATTTCACACACACACACAACGTCCCCTAATGACCTCAGGCCAGTTGCCATTACCCCCATACCCAGTCTACTCTGTGAGGACTTTGTTTTTGAGTGGGCATTTGCCAGAATCTATCAGTCAATTGATCCACAGCAATTTGGCAATATGAGGACCTCCTCTACATCACACTGCTTAGTGAGCTTTCTGGATTTTCTGCACAAAAACCTGCAGAAACATAAGACATCACTGGCCGTTGCCCTTGTTGACTTCAGGAAGGCCTTTGACCGTGTTGATCACTGCACTGTTATCAACAAGGCCATTGCACTAGGGTTGCCCACCAACCTGGTCTCATGGCTCACTGATTTCTGAATGGACGTCGTCAGGCAACGAGGTATCAGGGCTCGGTCTCCACATTCCAACACCTCACCTGCGGTGTTCCCCAGGGGACCAAGATGGGACCACTGTGCTTCCTCATCCTGATCAACGACACTCTATCGGACACTCCTCACAGGTGGAAGTACGTGGATGACTGCACTGTGGGGGTTTCAGTGGACAACACCGCACCAGACTAGTCATTGCTACAAGGCACCCTGGACAGGATACAGGAATGGACTACAGAGAACAAGGTCACCATCAACCACACCAAAACCGTAGTCATGCACATCAATACCGCCACCACTCCAGTGCAAGCTCCAGCAGTCACAGTGGGTGCCCATCCTCTCCAGCTGGTGCAGTCTGCCAAACTCCTGGGTGTAACTATAGACAACAAACTGGACTGAAAGGCCCATATAAATAACACAGTCAAGTCAGCCTCGTACCTTCTCTACATGCTACGACGACTTAGGTCACTTTGGACACCCACGCCAGAGCTGAGGACTATCTACAACGCCTTTATTCTCCCCAAACTAACGTATGCGTCACCAGCCTGGTCGTCTTCTCTCAACTCCACCCAACAACGTCAGCTAGAGAAGGTACAGAAAAGGGACTGCAGAATCATGCTCAGCGCAGAATACTCCGGTTACATCAACGCTCTCTCCACCCTGGAAATGCCATCCCTCAGTGACCTCCACCACCAAGCACTGGAAAGGTTTGGCAGCCAACTAATGCACCACCCTCGTCATCGCCACCTCCTGCCACCGGCAGCCCCCCACCCACCTCGCGCAGTCCGCCACTACAACAAAATTCAGCCCATAAGAGCCCTCACCGATAGATATAAGAATAGCACCATCCCATCTATTGTTAAAATAATAAACAACTCCTGATTTATGTACTGTATAGTCCTGTAAATGTATTCAATGCATATTATATCATTATGTCTAAATCAAATGTAAGTCTGTATATTTTCAGCCACCGGCTGCAACTCTATTAATAAACCATTTATTATTATTATTATTACACACACACACACACTGGAATTTATAAAAGAGCAGATAGCTTGTGTGTCATGGATGTCCTGGTTATTCCATCTTCGTGGTGTAGAATAATATAATCTTTTTCTTTTCTATTTTTAAATTTTTTTACTCGTATATTGTTGCCCCTTGGGCCCCGCTGTGGGTCGATGACCTGTGCCCGGGTGGGCTATTCCCCGCAAAAAAAAAAAAAAAAAATATTCATGGCCATTTGGAGAACATATTCCCTGTGAATGCTCAGGGAAGGGAGTAGTTAAATAACATGTGGAACTGTGTGTTTTTGAGAGCTATAGGCATTTTAGTTAATGCTGGAAACATAACAATTGCAGATTATATATTCAGCCCCTTGTTGTTGTTGTTGATTTTGTTAAATAAAGAAGTAATCTGGTGAATCGGCTCCTGCTTATGGATTCATCGAAAATGAGTTGACAGGGGTATTCCAGTAGTTATATGTAGCCAGGCATACTGACCACCAAGTGAACATATGTATGAATGCTTTGTTATGTTTCACACACACACACACACACACACATATACAAATATGTAGGAATGGTGCAATAGGATACAGTGAGAGATAAATAATTCATGAGTTCATAATGTGAAAATGGTGGAATTTCTGTTTAGTTTAGAAAAAGAAGCTGATAACACCAGCAAAGGCAAAATACTTTGGCAATTTTTCACATCCTTTTAATCTGAAGTAAACCTGGAGGAAATAAACCAACATTCCTTTTACAGCCATAACCGTTAATATAAAATCTAGCCAGAGAAGTTATTTATTCTAACACAGTGATGAAGTTTATAAAGAGTTAAAAGATACTATCAACACAATGATAAAGTTTTCTCACCACCACAATTGGTACACTTTTGAGCTTTGTCCACTGTATCTTCAGATTTACTCTGTTTACTGATGCCCGTGTTATCCGTAGCCATGTTGGAAGTTCAAGTAGATCTGTGAGCACAGTTTCATTAAGTTCCAAGTTTGTGAGCTCTCCTTCTCCCTTCAGTGTGCTAACATTTACGCTGTCTGATGACACATTTTTCGCAAATCTGAAAAAATAGGAGCAAAATACAGTACAGTACTGGTATATTTCCCAATACAGGGACTACGTGTTAAAGCTAGTCTGTCCTCTCCACCAGAAATACATGCCGGTAGGTGGTCATGTATGTAATATTATTCTTATCAAAAAAAGGGAAGATGTACAATACTGTACAATATTGGCCTCTGTTCAGAGATTTTTTTTTTTTAATTTACCCCATGAGGGGCACTAGTTTATTGGGCACCCCCTTGCATCCTGTGCAAGATGAAGCGCAAAAAGCATTTACAGCGCCCATCACGGAAGCATGCGTAGTTCATGCTTGCCTTCATGACTCGTGCATTAAGGGTGTAAATGCCTGAAGGGTAATGGGTTTTGTCAGAAAGTTACATAAAATGACAGGATAAAGAGTCTGTGGGAGGAAAATTCCCGGTACAATTCATCTGTTTATGGCAAAGCATGGCAGGTCCCTAATAATGTCAAGTGCCAGGCCTGTCTCTAGGAAGAGGGTTATCTGGTCAGGGAGGGACGAGGTGCTGGTAATGGCTGGGGACCTGTAGGATGAGGTCATAGGGCAAGTGAGAATGTAGTGAGAGAGGGTATGAGAGTTGGGTTGACCCCAAAGTTTACAAATAGTGTAGCCAGGCTCAGGGTTGTCAATGTACTCTCATAGGTACCTGTAACGTAGGCGCAGTCTCATGTATACTATCTGTTGGGTCGGGTCAGAGATTGATACTCTTTGTAGTGGCGGATGTCGTCACCGGTTGCAGCATCATAGTGGCGTAGTGTGGTGCTACCCTGTTGTTTTAGGTGTGCCCAATGTTCATCAAATGCTTCTTGTTGTGTGATGTGTATGAGAGATTTGAGATGATTTAGGGAGAGATCAAGGGTGGCTTCAGTGTCCTCTTCTTGTGTCGCTTCTTTGGCAAGCCGATCAACAGTGTCACAGGCAGTTATTCCTATAGTATGTGACGGAATCCAAATAAACTTGACACGGATGTCATCAGTTTGCTCTAGCCCGTCGATGGTGGCTAGGGTGTGTTGGGCAACAGGGAAGGAGGGAGAGGGTAATTTGAGCCTCGCTAGCGCAGAAGTGCTGTCACTGATTGTAAGGAGGTTCCGGCGTTCAGTGCGGGCATAGGTCGCAACCTAATGAATGCCTGCGAGGATGGCTATGCTCTCAGTGTCAGTGGAAGAGGCCCAATTATGGACCCTGATTTTCCTGCGGGACTGGCGCTCAGTGATCCACACTGCTGCCCCAGCACCGCCCAGCGTGGTAATAGATCCATCACAGAAGACAAGGAGAGGAGGGTGGGAAGTCATGAGAAAAGAAGCAACATCATCAATCTGCTCAAGGCAGTTAAGTTTGAGTATATACCGTAGTTGGGTGGATTTACGACCAGAGAAGGTGTGGACGACAATGTCAACACAAGGAGAAGTCCATAGCGGTAGAGGCGGATGAGTGTATGTACTCGGGAGGGAGAGAGGTCAAGGGAGTGAGAGGTGATAACGGAGGATGTCAGCCACACAGTAACAAGTGTCTCCTAGAGGTTGAAGGTCATTGTTTAGTGTCTTCCAGTCTCACCTACATTATTTCATTATGCAGTAGTCAAGCTCTGTGAACTAAATATGACAAAAGTTACATTAATAAAGGTAAAGGTGGAGGAGACTTAGCACCATAAGTACTCTACGAAATTGCACCAAATTTTCAGATGTTGTTGGAATTATATTAAATAATAAAACGACAACATTGTATGTCATTTTTTTAGCCTATCCTTCAATCATAAATCACTTGTTAGTGGAAATAATGGGGTAAAAACACTGTAAACACTGATCATATGCCAATAATTTCACATGTGATTTGTAAGCGATGAAATAAATTATTTACCATAATTATGGCACCGCGGATCTCCCGTGGCAACCATGTTTTGGTTCACATTTTCTGCTATATGGGAGCGTCCGTGGTCTATGTTTACATGTCACGAAAATCATGAAGATCTCATCAGGCGTGTTTATTACGATTAATATTGGATTAAATTCGTTCATTGTTTCTAGATATGTTATTTGTGGTGATAGTAAGAAAATGGAAATGACAATGCACAGGTTAGATAAGGTAGTAGGCCAAATTCTAATAGGTTCTGTACATTCTAGTTTCCATTTTCATGTTCAGCAACATGCGAATAGTATCTCCAGAAATTTTGGTTCAATTCCACAACTTATTTCTGGTGCTAACCATCTCGGTTAATATTTAGTAGTTGTCCACACCTAACTGAATACTGAGTCATATATTGGGAGAAAGAAAAAATAAATAAAATATTGTAATATTCTATAACATTTCCGTCGGATATTTTCAATTAATTTTATTTTTTTTTATAATATTCGACCAATCAACGTGAGTGTTGATGTGATGTCAAAGTCGTGCGTGCCAATCAGCGTGAGTGTTGATGTGATGTCATAGTCGTGCGTGCCAATCAGCGTGAGTGTTGATGTGATGTCATAGTCGTGCGCCCATCAGATTGAGTGCTGATGTGATGTAATACTCGTGCGCCCATCAGCGCAAGTCTCGATTTACGGGCAGTTGGAAGATAACATCTGTGTGAGGAGGATGTACAGTACATTGGTTGGGTGGCACATTATTCAGAGCATTTTGGACAATGAAGCAGCAGCCATTGACATTTTTAAGGCTCACGGTGTTCTTGTTTCTTCTGTAAAGTGTCGGAGATGTAATTCAGAGTGTCAGTACCATGTAGATCACCATGCATGGTACTGTGGTAAGAGACAGACACTGACGATGACACAACTTACTCATTTAAGTCACCTCTCTCTATCCTCCTGTATCTCTTACTTAAGGTAAGGGTAATTATTGATGACTGACCCGCCGGCAATTAAGCATAGTAAATGATTATAAAAATGCAGCAATTTCACTGTGTTCTTCAGAGCAGTGTTCTCCAACCCGGGTCACAGTATTGTGACCCAAACCATCTACTAGTGTGACCCGACAGACTACTGTGACCAGGTGCTGTGACAGACATTGTGACCCACAAAAATAAGTGAACAAGTCAATCTTGCTATATTCTGTGCAGTGGCGGATTTCCCAATAGGCCCCCCACCCCCCCGACCACACACACAATGTGGTAGCGTACATAAGAGTCAAATAAGAGCAGAAATTAGGTTAAACAAAAGAGGGAGGACATTTGGGTGCAGTAATGAAAAAGTGCATCATTATCATCAATGATATCAAGAGCAAAGCTAAGAAATCTCACATGTTCCATGACTTCTGCGATAGGATGAGGGGGGGGGCTGAGAAGACCCTGCTGTTTCACTGCGAAGTGCGATGACTGTCAAGAGAAGTTGTATTGAAGAGACTCTCAACTAAGGAAGGCAGTTCATGGCTTCTTGCAAGAATGTGACTCTCCACATGCATTCTGTTTCATGCAAGAGGAGTGGGTTGCTAAGATTCCTTACTTGTGTGATATATTCACCAAGCTCAATGTGTTGAACCTCTCCCTTCAAGGGCCAGGTCAAGATGTGTTCACTTCCAATGACAAAATTGAGGCATTCAGATTGAAAATTTCAGGGTGGAAGAAAAGAGTTGAGAGAAGGGACTTTTCAGACTTCGATGAGCTTGGGCAAGTGATTGTAGAGTCCAAGGATGAAGTAATTGACGACAAAATGATGATAGTTGTGTCCCAACATCTCACCATTGTCCAGTAGAATTTTAACCACTATTTTCCTCCTGCAAATGACAAAGAAAAGAAGAACAATAGTTGGATAGGAAGCCTGTTCCTTATCTCAAACTTGAACGACAGCAATCTGCCCACTCAAGAAAAAGACACACTGATAGAACTCCACTGTGACTAAGAAATGAAGGACTTTTTCAACAACCGCAACTGCATCGACTTTTGGGTAGCAGTGAGCCAGAAAGAAGCATATGAGATGATTGCTGGTACAGCACTCCAAGTTCTGGTGGCATTCCACAGCACTTACTCCTCCGAGAGAAGGTTCTCAGATCTGCTCACCTATCAGGAACAAAAAAAGGCAGAGGCTCGGAGAGACGATGTTGTCTGCATGCATGAGAATGGCAGCGACAAGAAATATCACCCCACGATTCAATTTGCTTGCTGCAACTATCCGGCAACAAAAATCACACTGAAAGTATCCAATGCCATTATGTAGTTTGTGATGAGGCGTGGCTTCACAAATGAATTGTATGATTAAGTGTTTATTATTTTGTACTTTGTACTGTAAGTGTTTAAATGCAATGATCAATTTTTCTGGATAAATGCAACTTATTGTAATATACAGTGGCCTCGGTTAACGAACTCAATCCGTTCCAGAAGGTCGTTCGTTAACCGAAACGTTCGTTAACCGAAACCATTGTTTCAATGGGTTTTTGGGTAATTGGTTCCAGCTCACCGAAAATTTCCTAAATTCAACAAAAATGGTAGAAAAGTTCACTTACTTTGAGGTGTGTATGTAGAAGGCTCCTGGATGATGATGATGATGATGGGATTTAGAATGGGGGTGGAGGAGAAGGAAGAAGAGAAGGCATTGGGGTGGAAGAGAAGTCACCCCATGGTGCCATTTCACCCATAAAATTTTAGCTCTCTGGTTTAATTCAAGATTATTTTCTTTAAATCAATGCTGCACTGCATTATATATTGTCAATATATAAAATATATTTCAAAATGACCAATAATTTGCTTGGAAACACAGAAAAAAGCATTTAGTTGAAGAGAGTCTCAAGCAAGATGTTACCTCCAGTGAAAACAGAGAGAGACTGACGCCTGTTTGCTGTGTTAAGAGGCTGGATGCCGCGCATTAAACTAGTCACTTTACCTTCAATTTCGTTCAATAATTGTTAAAATGACTAAAAAATTGAATATTAAACTTTTAAAATTATTGAATAGTATAAACTTCTTGATATTTACAAAAATAGTAAGGAATTTAAGCCCTAGAACCGATTAATGTATTGGCGGACTGATACTAAAGCTGGTTGCCCGGTCAGTGCAAGCGAAAACATGTTGAGGTCGGTTCGTAAGAAGTTCGTTAAGCGAATTTTTTTTCGTTAACCGAATTGAAGATCCTTATGGAAGGCAGTTCGTTAATCGAAATTACGTTAACCGAGGTGTTCGTTAAACGAGGGGTCACTGTACTTGTAGTGTACACTCATATAGAAGTATGATTTTACTATTAAATGTATCTTTCTTATGATGAAAACTTTATATGTGACCAAAGGATTTAGAGGTGCTGAGAACTGTAACTCAGTGTTGAAAAGGTTGGGGAACACTGCTTTAGAGGACAGGATACTCGCAGTTTGTCCAATTTTTTATTTTTTTTTACCCAACCCATCCCAACTTTAACCTAACTTAACCTAACCTTAACATAAAACCGTTTTATAGAGGACACTGTCATAGTTTGTTTGATTTTTTTTAGGCAAAATATCCACTACGTTTTTTTCTTTAACTTAACCCAACCCAACTTTACCATAAACCTGCCGCATTACCGTCGAGAAGACGAAGTAGCGAGCGGCTAGGCACCTAATTATCTACCAAACGAAGCATTTGCACAAAAAATGATTATCATACCAATACTCACTGATGAAAATAGAGGGTAAATATAGATGACTGACCCACGGACGAATTATTTGTTTTACTGTTTATTTTCTTACTTTATTTTCATCAGTAAGTTCTGATATGATAATCATTTCTTGCGCAAATGATTCGTTTGGTAGCTAATTAGGTGCCTAGCCGCGCACTACTTTGTCTTCTCGGAGGTAATGCGTCAGTGAAGTCTCATCCCAGGATGTAGACAGCCAATCATATTGACGGACTTCAAAACACTCCGCTGCCCAGGCCGGATCAATGCCGATGTTCAGTGTATGCTTATGAACAGTTCGGTAAAGGCGGCTGTTCTCACGCCCACTAAAAACGTAAAATTACACCATGTCATAGTAATTTCTTTCTGCTTAATATACCGGGGAGTTCAGGAATAGGTAGTTTGGTGGGTTTGTTTGGTTAAGTTGGTGAGGTGTTCTAAAATTGCTTCTGCTGCTTGTTTTTCATATCAACTGAGGTTAAGTTGGGTTTAATTTCCAAATAACTACTTTTTAACACAGTGAAATTGCGGGGGTTTTTTATCGGAAAAATCGGCCGTGGGTCAGTCGTCAATAATTACCAAATGGAGTAAAAAAATACACACCACAACAAATAACTTGCCAGCGGGTCAGTCATCAATATTAACCAAGGTTAAGTCTCTTACACACTAGGGGTTAGGTTAGATTAGATTTTTTGTGGGTTTTTACATTTTTTTACCTTCCACATCGGTTTTTCAATATTCAACAACGGCTCATTTCTAACGGCAATAAATGTCATATTTGTATCGAACACGATGAATTTCACTATAAAAACCCATTTTCAAAAGTTGATTTGGTGTTGGCAACTACGAAATATTTACCTTACCTTAATAAAACACTGGATGATGATGATGATGATGATGATGATGGTGTAGTAATGTGTGAAGGCAAGATAACCACATATATTCCCACCATTTCTGGAGGTTAATGCCATACAACAATTTATATGTGTTAAGGCATTATTATTCCTAATACAGCTCATTACCAGTTTATTTATAGTGTACAAAGAATTAAACGGCAATTCATATTTATCTATTTTACTTGGTCAGAAAGAATACAATACACCAGTGACTCTACATAGGGTTCCAAGTCCACAAATATAATGACGTCTCAACCAATCACCTTCACACTGGTCAATATGCCGAGAACTTCACTACTTACTTTGATAAATGCTTAAGTATCTGATTTTTTATCAGCCCAGCCATCTTGGGGCAAATGTGAAGGAAAGGTGAGGCAATACTGTTAACGATCAATCAGCCTCATATTGGGGAGACCAGAGGTGCAGGAGGACGGTTACTGACCGCTGCGGCGCCCCACTAACAACACCAAGTCATTTAGTTAACTTTAATGTTTGATGCACAGTTTCCTTACTTTAATACACGCTTTAATGCTTCATATTTTAAATTAATATAAAGTTGAACATAATATTCAGCATAATATTCATAAATCTGCCGTATATTGCACGTATCCATTTGTTTCCATGCTAAAAAATAAACCTGCGATAAACTTTAATGTGTGAACATGTAAAGATATGTATCATTAAAATTTATTATACTTCTTTAATAATACCGAAGTTCATTTAGTTTGTTTTGCCAGGGATGCATATTCATCAGGTCATCCTATATTTTATTTACAAGAAATAACTTGAACATTGGTATTTCCACGACAAAACTCAATAATAATATTTATAACAAATGACTAAATTAATTGATTTTTAACTTAATTTGATGCAGAGTGCCAATGTATTAAAAATCTAATACTTCATTACTTTCAAACGTGACTCCACTTCAATAAAGTGTTGAGGGATTACAGGTTCATTAGGAGGTTTGGACTCAACTGTTTTCATCATCCTTTTCCACTAACTTACTTCAACATATTTTTCACGGCATAAGTACCCTGTATTATAAACAATTTTTGCATCGATTTTTATTTTAAACACCAGTTGTCTGGAAGTATTTTCAATATTCAATGACAAAAAATATTGACACTTGTGAAGCTTTAGGGAGTAAATTATAAAATGGATTGTATGAAATTATTTATCTATAAGTTCTGGTGGAAACATAAACAAATTTCTAAGTCAGGATAGAAGGAATTTATACAAAACGAACATCAAAAATCATTCAATGTAATAGTTTAAATAGTGTTGTTCTCTCAATAATGACAGGTTTTGTTTATAGATTGCTGATATTGCCCAATTTAATTAAAAGAATCTCTCAGGTGAATTGTAGAAGAACGTGAAATTTTTAATGTCTGAAGAAGAATTATTGCACTGGATTGAACTTACATCTCGGGTTCATTACCATTAATACATCAACATAAAGGTAAGAATTTATCGTAATGTACCCGGTAACATTGTAAATATGAGTGTCAAACTGGCAGTAGAATGAGACTTGCAAGTGATACTGTAGGGATTCGTGGTATAATGTTCAGTGGCGGCTCGTGCATAGGGCTGCAGTCCCCCCAGACACTCACTGCCAGGCGTATGATTCCTTTAGAGAGACAGCTGAATAATACACTACCAACAAATATATCATTTTATATGTTATTTAATTATTTTCAATACGTTGCTAAGTGAATTTTCATTAAAATCAGACCAAAATTTAAGTTACTTTCATAGTTGCTGTCAATGCTGTACGATTGATGTCTGTTATTAATTGGCGCCGCCGCCGCCACTTGAAGCAGCTCAGTCTCGTACAACGTGTGGACGGTGTGGTTAAATCGTGCTTTCTTTAATTACCCTTTGACGATGGAAAATCGAGTGAAGTATTTGCAAAACATCAACTTTTCCCAGCTGACATTAAATGAAAAGACTGAAATCAAAGCAAGAGGAAGACCTACACCAGTTTTATCCATTCAACAGAACAGTACAAGCAGGAACAAAGAATATACACGCCAGTTTAACATGAGTGTTTATCAGAAATGTGAATGGCTCTGTGGTTGTGACGAGGCAAACACTGTCTGCTTTAGCAGTGATATCCATTGAAAATAAAATGATAACAGAAATAAAGGATTTTAATGAAATAGTAATAAACAATTTTGCTACATCGAAGAGCAGACACGCCGACTTTATTTTCAATTAATACTGGTCCATCACCACCAACACTACTACCATGCCCTGGGAATTCGTGGACATCAACTACAACTCATACCTGAGGTAGGTCACCTACTGTTGTGTGAGGCTTGCAGTCCCTCCATTTTATTTTTCACGAGCCGCCACTGATAATGTTGTCTAGCACTCAGGATGGATGGAAACTCTAAGGTGGTTTTCTAGTATAATATAAGTTATATGATAGACAGTCTGGTGCTGGAGGTGCCGTGTGGTGAGGAGCTGCTCAGTAGAGACGTTCGGTGAGTAGCGTGTTGAAGGAGGTAGATGTGCAGGAGCTTCGTTAGAGAAGATGTTGCCTGTTGCTGGCCTCCTGGTTGAATGAATGCTGACAGCGTGGACCTTGCTGGAGGAGGTGTTGCTTGTTCAAGAAGAGAGACCAGAATGAGAAAGCTGGTTGGTGAGGAAGCTCAGAGAAGGACAGCTGGTGGGTCGCCATGCTCGCTGGCGGGAGCGAGGACCGCCAGGCAGGCGGAGGAGAGGCGAGGGCCGCCAGGCAGCGGCGGAGGAGGAGGTGTTGCGTGTTGTAGAAGAGAGGCTAGAATGAATCTCAATGGAGAGACAGAGCTTATATACCCAGCAGCCGTGAGTCCTCTTTGAGTCATGTTGGGAAAACTCGAGAAGTAACCTGTCTTTTGCTCGGTTGCTAGGATACGGCGGCGCATCTGGTGACTCCGCTCGTTTGGTTGCTAAGGAAGGCGTCTCAGGTGGGATGCAGCTACGCAGTTTGTAGGGGAGACATCCACTACAAGTGTTTTAAAATTGTCTAAACTCTATGATAGGTATATTAAAAAAAAAGCCAAAAGTTGTGGGACAACTACAGTAAAAGCAATAATACCGAAATTTATATTTTTCGAGTATTTCAATTGATAAAATTATTAACAATATTACTTGTTTAAAGTGGGTAGGGCTTTGAAGCAGAGGAAAAATGTGGGGTAATATACAAGAAAAAAACGCCAAACAAACTAACGTTTCGTAACCTTTAAAATCCATGAAACTATAATTTTTAGCACTAATCCCGTCAGTAAAGCTCGCCGCCAAACCGGCGTTCCATTTCTCGCAACAAGCGAAATCCTGCTGCCTGCTGGGCCGTCAGCACGACTGTCAGCCAAAAACGGCCAACAAGCTCTCCAGAGACACGATCGCCCTTCTGAAGATAGGACTCACATAAGCCACTTTCCATTCATTGGGAAGACCTTTTGTTCATCCAGGCATTTACCGAACAGGATCTTCAGGGCTCGGCAAACTCGTTGCACAACTCTCTGCACTCTGATGCATCGGGGCCGACTCTTATGGACCTTTAGCTTTGACAGTTTATTTCTAATGCCCTCTGTGAACACAATGTGTCAGGTCAGCCGGACCGTCTGTCCTCAAACGCAGGAAGGTTAATCGCATCCTCTTTTGTGAACACCGAGGAAAAGATGCTGTTCAATTCCTCAGCTTTATCCTGGTCAGAATCTCCGTAACTACCATCTTCAAGCCTCAGGTCTGATACTCCTACTCGCGTTTTTGACAGCGACTTTTGCTATGTTGTTAATAGGACAGTAACTAAAAGCAGAGTTTCCTTAAATAGGTCTGAGCGAATAAATATCAATAAGTTTAGACAGCAAAATCTTAACAAGAAAAATTTACATCATTGATGATCAATTATATCAATAAATGATAGCATTGTTGCATTAAGATCACCAGGTTTCATAACTTTTGGTGAGTGATGGTCGACACACAACACTGTTTGTGGGTTAAGATCAAACATCTGGTATAAAAAAGTTTATTATGACATAGGACTTATTTATAGCATCACCCATGTCTATCTACTGAATCAATAAGTAGAGATGTTATACACAAGGTTACAGGATATAAGAGTAGCTGCTGCCTAGCGGAGTCTGTCTCACATCTTGTAACCCTAACGATATTAACCTTTATCCTATGCTAAATACATCCTCACAAGTGATTCGTCTCAGAAGCTCCTTTTACTTCTTGGCCGCTTGAACTCCTGACCCCTGGGCTCCTGCTTGCCCTCCAGTAGCGCTACCAGGACGGTAGAACAATTCACCAGAAGAGTTGATGTACATGTCTCCTCTCCTCAGCAATGGACTTCTTCAACAGAGGTTGTTAGATATATTCCTGAGAGGTCGATTCCTCCACTGTTCAGACAGGTTGAGTGCGTCGATCCGAGCGCTGCGAGTCAGGCCTTATGTGAGAGAGAGGAAGATTAAGTTTTGTGGTACTTTATATCGCGCATCAAAATATTGATAACCGACAGCAGTGAGAAGTGTCACCTGCTGAGGGTACACTATGTGTGTGTGATGGATGAGTCGTATATAGCGGTAGGTGTGCATCAACTTTGTTATATATATATATGTATGTTTATATGCTGCCTTTATTGAATATATATACATTATATATTATCTTACTTCTTACCAAAGTCAGAAAGTGTTTAGGCTTGTGTAAACACGAAATGTTAGGCACGCTGTAACCAACAACAGAGAATAAACCCCCCAGCCAGACCGACCATGTGACTTGTCATTCTCCCATTAAATAACGCAAGATACTACAAACGTGTATTCGTAAACGTCACTATACTTTCCTACGTACAAAAGGTTGATCCATTCAGAAGCGACTTACCGCATTGCCTTGTGTTGCCCAGTGGTAAACCATTTCCTCAGAGCTAACTCCGTAGGGGAAGTTGCCGCCTCCCGTTCCTGCCACTGTTTTGAATTGTGGACGAACTCCCGAGTCTGTAAGAAGAAGTCACGTGAGACTAAGGCCAATAGGTTTCTTAGTCTTATGGTGGAACTGATGGACTTGTATTGTCTATGTAGTACAATGAAAGACAAAAGTCGTGTCGTGAAATTTGGTGAAAACATGTGCCGAAGGACTAAACTTTTGCGCTCTGCCTTGTGGTAGGGCTCTCATAATGTTTCACGAGTTATGTTTAATAAAACGCGACACGACTTTTGTCTTTGATTGTACATTGTGTACGAGTATACTTGCACTGAGTATATGCTGAATCAATTTGAACATGTATGTCATTTGTAATGAGCTATCTATCTATCTATCTATCTATCTATCTATCTATCTATCTATCTCTCTATCTATCTATCTATCTATCTGTCTATCTATAATCTGTTAATGTATCCTTTGTAATCTATGTCTATCAGCTCTCTACTTAATCTATCACCTCCAGTATATCATTTATCTGTCTTGCCTCTATCTTCTATAGCTT